TCTGAAGAAGTATAAGAATGTGTTAAATTATCATCAGTGAGGACTCGCTGATACCTGTCACCGAGATATAATTTGATTAGAGCATATGCATTGCCTACACTTCCATAGAATTTCAGTTTCTTCATTAATAAGTCGTGATTAATGCAATCAAAGTCTTTCTTGAGGTCACAAAAAATACCTCCACATACGCCTTATTATTTAAGGTCTGTACAATATCATTTAGAAGTTTAAACGTTGCCTTTCATGTTGAGGAATTGCTTCTAAACCCAAACTGTTGACTAGATAATATAGCATTATTTATTACATGTTTAGAAAGTCTTATCCATATCTTTTCAAAACTTTTAGAAGAGGAAGTTAGCAATGATATAGGCCTATAATTTTTTATATCTTTATTGTCGCCTTTTTTAAATAATGGCTTAACCACAGAATATTTTAATCATGTAGGGAATGAACCAGATAAAACTGACCCATTCAAAATATAATTTAAAGGAGCAATGATAAATGGAGAATTTATTTTAAGGATTTTTACTGAAATTTCATCATATCCAAATGAATTTTTGGATTTAATATATTTTTTTTTTAATTTCCCTAGTCATCGTATTATCAAATATTATATTTGGAAAGGGGTTACAGGTTACAGACTTGTTGCTAAGCAGTGACTCTGTAAACAGGGGCCTTTGATAGGTAATGCATGCAACAGGAAAGAAATGGGATTATGCAACCCACTTCTAAGCTCTGGCTCGGTAAACACATTCCTATGGAAACGAACATATACAATGGAAAAATGGTCTTTTCGATGTGGTCTGTGCCGAGGGGTTATCTTGAAGACAGTAAGCTGACCATTTCAGAAAGGAAATAAACCTTCCACACCTGCAATGCTGCAACTGTCAGCTTGCGAAAGGAGAGAGAGTCCATCCCATCAATTATTGGGGCTGAAGATATGTAAAGGAGGAGATACACAAAAGGAAGTCACAGAGAATGCAAAGTATGTTCTCTTCAAACCTCGCCGCCCCAGATGTGTCCTTCGCAGTGGTTCTCTGAGGCAGCACAGAGCAACAGCAGTGGCCTCAGACACATGGCGTGGCAGTGGCAGGATCAGCCAAAATGGAAGGGTCCCTGTGCCCTTACACCAACATGAACAGCACGCAATGGGTCGGTCAGTCAGTCAGTCAGGGCCTCAAATGTGAACAGTTTGCCTCAAGAAAATATGTTGAGAATAGTATGGCAGTTTATAACAGAATTCAGTGGTGCTGTGTTAGAGAAGGAGAAAAAGTGGACATTACAAGAACTGTCTTAAATCTCACAAAGCAAAATGACCACCAGAATTCATAGGCAGAAGCTACTAAAGCATGTATGTATATTGTATATACATTCATGTCATAACATGCAAAACATATTGTACATTGTAAAAGACTACCCATCCTCTTGTTAGAGAGGGTACCCTTCATCAACAAACTTGCAACTGTCAGAAAAAAAATCTGGTCTTAAGTTCCAAATTGGTGATTGACACCAAGACAGACTGGCAGACTCAGTGGTAACATAACTTTGATGTTTCACCATTTCAGTTGTCGGTTGAAAGTCTGCCTGTGAAGAGAAAATGGGAAATTGGTGTTAAATGGCCACAAGCCTAGGACCAAGTTGAGGGTTGGCAGTTAAGTCGAGCTCTGCAAGGGAGGCTGAGAAGAGATGGCATTATAGTTGAGTTCACAAGAGTTCAGTTGTGGGGTATTCGCCAGACAGTATTGACAAAAGTGCGGGAAGCTCAAAATCTTCACTGTTAGAAGCCATTCCTAGGGAACAGCTGGTGAAGACAGCAGACTGGAAAAGGCTTAGTGGGTGCTACTGTAATTCCTTGTAGTTCCAAGTGGTCAATAAATCGAATTATCCAATCCATACCCCATCTCTGGTCGCACACATAAATCGTGACCATAATTGAACTCAGATTTTTGGACGAATCTTCTCTGATGTAAAACAAAATCACATCTGTAATACTAAATCTGTTTGGTGCAGTGACTTTGACTTGCCTGCACAACAAGCATATGTCTTAGACTGGAATGACTGATAATTACAGAAAGATCATTACAAAAGGAAGTTTTTATGAACAGTTCACTTATTTAAATGACTTTTTTTAGATTTAATAATAAAGAAAATTGTGCTTATGTTGCTGCTGATTGAAAAGTCAGTTATCTCTACTTATGTTCCTGCCATCCAGTAGAACACCTGGAAGTGTACCATGAAAATAAGGGTATGTGGTCACTCTGACAGCCCCAGACCGCCACTGATCATGGTCACTTGAGTAATCAAATATATTAATGCCAAGTTGAGACACTCGTGTTAATGCATCACATATAGCTTTGTGTGAGAGATTGCATGGAACTGTCGCATAAGATTAGATAAACACAAAGTCCTTCTGCTTAATTAAGCACCATGCCATGAAGACGTGGGGGAACACACATACCACCATTGTTCCTGACTTTGGCACTAAATGGCGGTGAGTGGTCAGCTTCATGCCCTGATCGCATTATCCATGGGGAAATCTCCTAGGTACCCAGTAGACAGGAGGCTGAGTGGGACCCAGAGCCAGTCTTGATGCTGTGGAGATCAAAAATCTTTCCCCTGCTTGGAATCAAACCCTGGCTGTCCAGCTCATAGCCCTTTACTATGCTGATTGATTTTCATATTGGTTGCTCACGTCCTATCAATGCACCAATTCAAAACAGTAAGTAATGTTTTTTTTTATTGGTTGCATCCTGTTGTGTGTCTCAGACAATATACAGTATGTAGGAACTATTCTACTGTCAACACAACAAATATTTCAGTATTACATTTAGATCTCTATTTACTGTGACATGTTTTGGTCATATGTGACCCATCATCAGGCAGGAATACATATAGTTATTGAAATGCTGATACGAATCCTTATCGGTGCAACACATTGTATTAAATATTAACATAAAACAATTTTGCCTCAGATTAGTGTATAGTTAAAAATAGCAAATACATGATTAAATTAAGAATAAAAAATAAAAGATAGAATAAAGGTGTACTATATATAAAATGTCAAAATATTATTAAAACATATAAAAGGTATTAACAACTATATGTAGGGTTAGGGATCTGTATGCAAACTACATTTTTTTTTATTCTAAGGGGATATCCTGCTACAGTGTAGAATTGGGCGTGTATGTTGCATAGGTCTTGTTGCAGAAATTCTACTTAATAAGCCCGGTATATGAGGCCCAAAGACAAGTTTTCAGTGATGTACAAGTTTGATGGTATGTAGGTATTTGGTATGGTATTCCCACGCTACGTATCCTAAATATAAAACTTGCAATGTGGCATATGTTTCTTGTCCGGGCGTATACATGTTCGGCGTGTATGGTGTGTTCTACAGTGTGCGGTGGTTTGACAATCTACGTCAAACCACCGCACAGTGGTCCAGACTGACTCTGGGGTCCACCTAACCTCCTATCCAATGGGTACTGGGGGCTCTTTCCCCAGGGGTAAAGTAGTAGGGGCGTGAAGCTGACCATTCACCTCCATCTAGTGCCAAGGTCGAGAAACTGTGGATCTATACCACTCCCCCATATGCCTTCATGTCATAGTGCTTAATTTGTTGAGCACGGGGAGAACTTTACTTTCTTTTTCCTTTGTAAAACAGACAGTGGTTTGAATGTTCATACACGATTATGAAGAGTAAATAAGAAAAGTATATATGAGATCTGAGGTCTTCATGGCCATGACTGAAGAGTACTACCTTCCAGGACATAACATAGTTAAGTAACTGATGTATGTGCCATGCCCCCCTCTTCATTCAGTTTAGGAGTTTCAAACCAGTACATTTCATAAATCTGCTGTATTTCCACCATCTGGTGAGACTTGAGTCTTCTGTTTTGGGCTTTTGACTTGAGCTACTGTCAAACTATGGATCAGGCACAGTAGGTTTGTTTCATAGTGTGTGAAATGTAGTGGTTTAAACAAACCGGGACAGTGGTCTTACCGGATATAAAGAATATCTGATGTCAATAAAATGCACTAAAATTTCTAAATAAGAAATCACAACAAAAGCTTTGTACAATGGATATCCTGAGTTCTGGCAAGATAAACAATGATTTCTTACATACTGTGCAAACTCAGTACAGTAAACTCTCCATCATCCGGCATGCATGGGGAATGGGGTGTGCCGTTACATAAATCGTGTGGTAGTCTTCGCAACTGGTCAAGTTTTTGTTTTAATTCTTGTGTGGTAGTCTTTGCAAGTGGTCAAGGTTTTGTTTTAATTCTTGTGTGGTAGTCTTTGCAAGTGGTGAAGTTTTTGTTTGAATTCTTGTGTGGTAGTCTTTGTAAGTGGTGAAGTTTTTGCTTGAATTCTTGTGTGGTAGTCTTCGCAAGTGGTCAAGGTTTTGTTTTAATTCTTGTGTGGTAGTCTTCGTCAGTGGTGAAGTTTTTGTTTGAATTCTTGTGTGGTAGTCTTTGTAAGTGGTGAAGTTTTTGCTTGAATTCTTGTGTGGTAGTCTTCGCAAGTGGTCAAGGTTTTGCTTTCATTCTTGTGTGGTAGTCTTTGCAAGTGGTCAAGGTTTTGTTTTAATTCTTGTGTGGTAGTCTTCATAAGTGGTGAAGTTTTTGTTTTCATTCTTGTGTTGTAGTCTTTGTAGGTGGTCAAGTTTTTGTTTTAATTCTTGTGTGGTAGTCTTCAAAAGTGGTCAAGGTTTTGTTTTAATTCTTGTATGGTAGTCTTCATGAGTGGTGAAGTTTTTGTTTTAATTCTTGTGCGGTAGTCTTTGCAAGTGGTCGAGGTTTTGTTTTAATTCTTGTGTGGTAGTCTTCATAAGTGGTGAAGTTTTTGTTTTAATTCTTGTGTGGCAGTCTTTGTAAGTGGTCAAGTTTTTGTTTTAATTCTTGTGTGGTAGTCTTCGTAAGTGGTCAAGTTTTTGTTTTAATTCTTGTGTGGTAGTCTTCATAAGTGGTCAAGTTTTTGTTTTAATTCTTGTGTCGTAGTCTGTGTAAGTGATCAAGTTTTTGTTTTAATTCCTGCATGGTAGTCTTCATAAGATATATAATGGAATTGTGTGCAAAATATTTCACATACATATAATGTAACGTGATCACAGATTCAGTTAGGATCTACTGTAATGGCACCTGTGTGAGGGAGGATGATGGGCAGTGCTGCTAGTGGTGACTGAGAGGCACGTGAACATGTACACATTTCAAGTTAAATTTTGAATAACTTTATTATAGTCTCTGCTGGTTTGATGAGAATCCCAGATGCCACTGGATAACTGGTAGTATACTGTATAAAGAAATTACGTTTCCTGAATTTCACTTAACAGAGGTTTTATCACAGAAAGTGTTGTGGCACATTGAGCACACGTGGTGCAGACTTAAACTGCGACTGGTTTCTGATGCTTCTAATGTCTGCACAGAGTACATTAATTCTGCCCTCCAATGTGTGTACTCTTGACTGCACGGAAGTAAGTGCGATTATAATACTATCAAGTTTAGATGACATGTCCACACAGAGAGAACAGGGTACATCTGATTTGTGTCTGAATCCTTGCAAATTTGGACTGTGGACTACAGCTTCTTTTGTTGCACTGTTAGGCACTGCAGCTACTGGCTTGCTAGGTGATGGAAATGTTGTAGAACAGTTCTTTTTAAAAGCTTCAAACTCTTCCTTGGTAACTGAAACAATAATAAACATTTTTGAGAAATTAATACTTCAAGTGTATTTTACAAACCAATTAATTATGTTCTGTGAGATTAGATCATCACATATGAATACTAGGTGCTGCTGGAAAGTTCCTGGACTATGTCAGAAAAGAAATTCTGGCTGCCATCTCCTTCAAAATAGCTCCTTGGGAACGTATACAGTGATCCCAATGTTTTTCCCAGGCTTCAAAAACACTGTGGAAGCCATTTTCCTTAATGCTGTCGAGTACCACATGCGATTCCCTTTGGATGTCAGACACTGTTTCAAAATGTTGTCCCTCCAGTTTCATTTTCAATTTGGGAGAGAAAGTGACATCTCAAGGGGCTTAGTCCAGCAAGTAGGGAGGATGGGGAATGATAACCATGTTGTTGTTAGTCACAAATTCTGTGGTTTTCAGGGACATGTGGGTGGGTGCATTGTCATGATGATGGAGCCAGTTGTGGTTGTGCCAAAGTTCTGGTCTTGTTTCATTGCAAGTTTTCTCTCAGGCATCTCAAAACATCACAGTAAAAGTCAGAATTGACGGTGGTGTTAGGAGGAACAAATTCACGGTGAACAATCCCCTTCACGTCAAAAAAAAAATGAGCATGCTCTTAGTTGGACTCCAGACCTGCCAATCTTGGTGATTGTGGGCTTTTTCACTGCAGCAATTGTTGCTTTGTTTCTGGATCATAACCACAGTTCCAACTTTCATCACCCATTATGATCTGACAGATAAAAGCTGAGTTCTTGTTAGCCTTCTCTCACAGCTGAAGATAAACGTTCATGCACTGCTACTTTTGATCATTTGTCAACAGTTGGGGAACAAACTTTGCAGCAGTATGGCACACATTCAAATTTTCTGTTAAGATCTCCTGGGAAACTCCGTAACTGATCTCAGTGATGTCTGCGAGCTCATGGATTGTTCAGCAGCAGTCTTCATGGATAAGTTCTCAAATTTTCTCAGCATTTTCTGTCATTCTGCTGGTGCTTGTTTGCCCTGAACGTTTGTCATCTTCAACTGACACTTGCCCGGCCTTGAAACATGAATGCCATTCAAAAACTGCTGTCCAGCTTAAAGAGTGTTCTCCAAAAGCCTCATGAAGCATTTCAAGGGTTTTGGTAGCAGATTTACCAAGCTTCACGCAAAACTGGAAGCAGATGCATTGCTCAATTTTGCCATTCATTGCAGACAAAACGAAACATGAAGTCGACATAGCATTCCCGTAAAGAGAATGCATGTTCACAGTGCGGTGTCACTTGGCAGACTGATGCAGTAGGCTTGTGGAAGTGTGATCTTGGCTTCCCCTCGCATCTTCTTTCACTGAGGCAGTTGCAACAGTAACAGTCCAGGAACTTTATTATATAATGGTGAAGATTGATACTGTGATCTTGTGGGTTATTACACAATGTTGTCTGGTATGTTATCCTGAAGATGGTGGCAGAATGTTTCTCCAAACTATTGGTACCAACCTATCAGACTAAAGACCTTTGCACAGATACCTTTCCCAGGGCTGCCTATGCTTCTGCAGTCACCTGTTGAAGGCCCCTTGTCCTAAGTTTTTCCCCTTCTGACTCCTGTTAGCCCATGTTAGCCCATCCAGGGGCCCCGTCTCCTCTTCCCCATTGGTGGCTGTGATTGGCCACTGCTGTTGTCCTCCGTTACAAATTTCTCCCCACCTCTCCATAACTTTCTCCTACCCTGAAGGTGGAAGCAGTATGTAATTCTGAAACACTAGCAACCATTTACCAAACTACAAGATGTCATAACCCAGACAGCCACAACAAATACACATCATAAGATGCCAGGAATTTATGCTTCACATAAACAAAGAACACTGTTTTTATTCAGCCACTCACTCGCTTCAAGGGCAAGTGGTTCTTCCATTCTACAGTGTGTGTACAGTCTGAAACCACAAAACTTACGGATGTGCTCTGCAATAACAATTGGACTCTCCGAAACATTCCTTTCAATGTGGGCAATGATATTGTCCAGCCTGCATACAAGATTTTCCTTATGCTTCTCTTGGAATCCTTCTATGAGATTACAGTGTTTGTCCCAATAGTACTTAATTTCTCCACGTTTTAGGTTCTGCTGAAGAATCTTCAGCATCTGAAACCAAAAACAGTGGTCATTACTGGAATATACATATACAAAACTGAGCCTCATGTTTATATCTGATGGAACAGTTACACACAAGCACTTCATTTCTACACTGGTAAAACATTACTTCAGTTCTGTCCTTGCAGATAAGTTGTACAAAGTGTGATCTCCTGGGTTATGACACTGTGTAGTCTTGTGCTTCTATCTTCAGGATCAATGTGTAAAGACTGAGGATACAGTTAGGTTATATAGGCAGGTTACGTGGAATACGGTCACTCGGATCCACAGGCAGAGATGAGGTGATGGAACCTGGCCTACCCAGACCATACCTGCAGTCTCCATAATGAGAGCAGTCTACCCTGATGATGGAGGCAGCAGGATGGCATTACATTCCAGAAGACAGTCATCTTAAAATCAGTCTATGATTCCACAGTTTGTGTAATATGTACGTTCATTCACTTCATGGACAATGGTGCCATGTCACCTGGTGCAGCTTGTTGTTCACAGGACTTTAACATTGCAACTGATATGCCTGTCCATCCAAGTGTGCAAATGTAAATAGCAAGAAATAATATTTCAGAACATATACATACATAAAATGTTAAGAGTGTTTAAATAACATAGGATGATTCTTACATGCATAAATAGATGACTCTGCTTCATCTTCCAAAAGTCTGGTGCCTTGTTTGCATCAATTTCCCAAAGGAATAGAGTTTTCAAATAGTAGCTTGCAATATTTAGCTGACAAGAATCTCTTAATTTCTGGCAACAGAAGAGAAAATTTTACAATTAAGTTACAGAAATAAGCACCATACAACACTACCTACATGCTGTGACATGATGCCTGACAGCCAGAGTACCAGAGTCAGAGAAGTGTCATGGAGACTTCCATTGCTAGGCAGTGGCTCGTTAAAAGACAATTCTGTGGCAACGAACACGCACACAAGAGCAAACGAACTGTTAAGTGTGCTGGTGTCTAGTCAGTCTGCTTCGAAGCCCATAAGACTGGATGCCGCAGATGTCGAGGATGTGAGCATTAGGGAGAGTCTCCATTATTAATGGCCATAATCAAGCAATGGATACAAGAACATATAAAAGAGCAGAAACACTTGCAAAGTACCCACCAACATCCCCCACCATCTTTTTTTTATTGCTAGTGGGGTGGGACTAAGTCCCTTGTACTGCGGCCACTTGTACCAGCCCCAGATGATAGGTGAGGGTGATTGTGGAGCAATTGGTGGAATGAAGATTGGCAGGGGAAACCGAAGTACTCAGAGAAAACCTGCCCCAGTGCCACTTTGTCCACCACAAATCCCACTTGACCACACCTGGGATCGAACCCGGGCTGCCGTGGTGGGAAGCCAGCAACTAACCGCTTGAGCTATGGAATGGCCATACTCCCCCACCATCTTGGTTCATTCTGTCCTGGGTATGATCTTTCGTGATTTTTCTCAGTGCCTCCAGGCAAATGCCAAGACATTAAATCAATTAGGCCATGAGAGCTGCCTTCCATATACTTTGCAATTAAATATTCACTCATCACCCTACCAATGACCACTACAGAGAGAGAGAGATACTGACAACAGCCCCAGTAAAAAATATATATTGCGCAACATGTGAGTGTCTACACTGTCTAACAACAAAGGACCTTGAGAGTATGTGCTTGAGTGGAGGTGAAAGAATTAAAATGACATTTTGATACTTCACAGCACTTCAATATTCTGTTTTACCTGATCACCATACAGGCACTAGAATATGTACCATTTAAAACAATGTCCCAACTGCAAAATTACATGCAAGCTTACATGTTACAGGTGACATAAATCAATGTAGCATACAACCCATGAGAACTGCTCAATAGCATGGATGTTGCCCACTGTAAACATTCCCTGTGACCAGGCAGTACATTCAGAATTACTGGGTTTTTGGACTTTGTCCATTATCTAGTAACGGTCTAGAAAACCGAAATTAACGGCCGTGGGGATTTGTTGCGCTGACCATGCGACATCCTCTATCCACTAAAGTTGGCACTAACTTCGCTGACAAGTGGCGGTCGCTCGGTCAGTATAGTTTGCTTGTGGACTAAATCCATGGAGTCAGTCCATTGTCTAGTATTCTAAAAACTACAAAACATGTTTTGGAAAAATGAATCTGTTACCGTCCTCAGGCAAATGTGGGGACACCTACTCTGTTGAGTCCTTTAGAAACAGGTAACCTCAATCACCAGAATACCAGACAATGGACAACATCCAAGCACCCAGTAATTCTGTTATACACCATCATCAGAACCCTTTAGAATTTACAGGCAGTACACTGTTATCTTGGTATTTCGTTGTCAGGATATGCACTGATAAATTCTTGACAAAGAGTAGCAGGTGATTCTGATGCAAAATACAGAACACATGTTCACACATGCACACTTTCTGAACAACTGCTAATAACAGCCTAGCAACTAGAGTGACACTGATTGCAATGTCACAAGGAATGTTGTCAAAGTCCATTACACTGAGGAAGCAGTGTCTGATCTAATTTCTCTATTACAGCACGTGACTATTGTATGGGTTGTTTTAAATGGTAGCATACGAGTGTACTGAGACGCACACGCGCACATGCACACACACACACACACACACACACACACACAAAAGGCAGTGGAATATATTGAAGTTTAGAGACTAGCTACGCAAGGCACAAGCAGCATACCTTCAACAGCCGACACACAGGTTTCAGCGTTCCTCTGTCATTTATGAGTTCCCTTTCTTGCTCATGAAATGCAAGTCTCCACAAGGTGTGATCAGCATCACCTGTCTTAGACTTCGGCTTGGGCACAATGAACCATGAAGTCCTCTATAGCAGTACAAAAATAATTAATTACACTTGCATAAAGTCTGCTAAACTTTCAGCTGGAAACTTCTGTGACTCCTATGCTGACGGTCTGACCGAAACTTAAAAATCAACAAATCGGAATTTTATAAAGCTTTAATTTCAGAAAAAAAAACTAGGCATGTGAGAGACTCACAAATTCTTAAATTTTATAGAAAATTCAGCCTTATGGAGGACACATACACTACTAAGGCAGGGTCCACACCAACATGCAACATGGTAAACGGATCTGAGAACTGTAAATTTTAACTTGACAGTCTAGACTGAAGAAACACAATAGAAACATGGCAGACACACCACTACTACTTGACCTGAACATTTGCTATGTTGCATACTGCGCATCTCCGGAGCAGACCAAGACTCGAGGAAACTTCTGGTGAGGTACAGGGTAAAATACCTTTGCTTTAATGAGTTGATCAGAAAGTGGACGGACAGATCCTGCAGGCCACTTTGGGTGGGTAAACTCTATGACAGGAACAAAATCCACATCCACCTTGGCATTACTAGGGATCATTGTAACAGTAAAAGTCATGGCTGGACCAGATTTCTTCAGGGATATCTATGATAAGACAAAAGTACATACTGAGAAGAAAGCAGTCTTCTGGGATGTGGTGCCATGCAGATATTGTGTCTGTTAGCACATGCTCACGCTGGTTTGCTCGCAGATTTCTTCTTTTTCGTCTACCCTGAAGATGGAGGCAATATGTTCCTCCAAAACGTCGGTTAACACAATATCTACATTGTGCCACATCCCAGAAGACTGCTTTCTTCAGTCACCGCTGAGAAAACCTCAATTCTTACAAAATTACATACTGTTACAAATGGATCACTGTGAACCAACTACCCCTTCTGAGGCATAAGTTTCATCAAATATTTTTTTTTTAAATGTAGTTCCTACATCACAGAAAACATAAAGCATCTCCAACATAGAGACCAACTGGATAATGCCATTTACAGAAACAATGATTATCTTTTGAAGGTGACTGGTTTAAATACCAGACAAGACTGACCCTGACTTAGTGATTTCATGGTTTCCCTCAGCCCCTCCAAGTAAATGTCAGGATAATACCTTAATATAGGCCATGACTGCCTCTTTCCACAGCCTTTCCAATTCATTTTTCACTAATCATCCCGTTATGCAACACAACACAACACTGTCTGCACTACTGGGTAGCGTTGGTTCATACGTAAAATACGTGGCATCATAACCAAGATTAACCATTATCGTTTTGTGGGCTCTCAAAGGCCACAGGCTTCACATATCCATTTGGAGTCACATGAGGACAGAGAACAGTTATAAAAGTAATGAAAAACAGAAAGATGAAGTCCATAAGTTTCACCTACAAAATTACTGAGCAGAGTTTGATCAGAACTGGTACTGGGGATTTACAGAGGCAAATATTCGGGTTTATATTAGTCCAGTGTGGGGAGCTGGTCTAGTTCAGTCAGTATGGCAGAAGACGAGAGGCTGGACGGCTGGAGTCAAATTCCTGGCAGCGTTGGAATCTCAAAACAACAAACATTTAATAACAATTAAACATAAGTTCATGATATACAACAACAATAAAAATGTAATAGTAAGACTGACCATAAATAAGCCTTTGCAACAGCTGCAAAACCATGACCTCGACGACCGTGGTCAGTCCAGAAAGAAAGACGAAAATCACAGTGTCACACTTTCCACAGCAGACAAGGACACAAGTTACATACTTCAATGGATGACGTACATGGTACTGTGACAGTCTCCCAGACGCATCTGGGTCCTGAATTCCCAGCTCATAGCAGTTGGGCTTGCTTCTCCTCAGCCTGTTCAGAGCCTTATTGACTACACTCTCCACCCACTGTCGGAACTCAGACTGCAGCAAGAAACCATCCTTATCTCTCCACTTATCCATGGATCTGAAGAAATTAGAACATCTTCACAATGCGATCTCATGAATAGCACACAACTCTCTTACTCCGAGGCCATGCAAATATAATGAACTGACACGGTTAAAGATGTACATATGACCACATAAATAAGAAACAGTGGGCATCAAGATTAAAACATAACCTCCTGGCAGCAAGCACTTAACCTCAATCATATGAGTACTTCATTACAACAGGCAAAAACAGAGTCACTGTCCATTCTATAATATTACAAACATGGATAAAATCAGCACTGTTTTTCTTTGCCAACTTGACCACAAAAATGAATCCCCTGCCCCATTTGTCTTGACTATTCTCTCTGAACGTTTTGCATAAACTGTACTTGTGGTTTCATTTCAGGTTCTGCTTCTTGCCTGAAATCTACAGTCACTATGCTTGTTGATTTTTCCAGCTACATGTTGCACCTAGCCATCTGTGTCCACCAAATTTTAGTTAATAGGAAATGCCTACAGTGTATAATTCTAGCACGATGAGTAAAGAACTTTGCATGGCCTTCTTGTGATTGGACGCTGAAGGATTCTGTGTTACCCAAATTAAGTAAGCTGAAGAGTTATGATTGCATATTCTATTTCTGACAAGCACTCACCATGTTTCACTGTGCTCAACAAAGAAGAGCATATTCTAGTTTACCTTTCATACGAACTCTCAAGTACACACTCATAAACAGCAGATATGCCATGTTCAAGGAATCCCAGTGTTTTATGATACAATGTGAGTCACAGACATGGAGTTATCATATTATTATGTGAATATTTATGGTAAGGCAGCTCATTATGATGTCAAAACCTCACAATGCAAATGAGAGCTATATGAAAGAGCTCCTAAATAGAGTTTTGCATGTGATTCGGGAAGAGAATTGCAGCATACTGGATTAAAGTAACATCAGTAAAGAGTTTAATGGTGCTAAGATTATTTAAAGTGAAGTAAACAACATGGAAGCAGAAACTCTGATAAATGCTGAAGACACAAAGCATATTTCACAGAATAATACTTAGTGGAACTGCACAAAGAATCTGAACGCTCAAGACACCCATCCTTTCAGTTCGAACAGCAGTGATACACAAGCCTTCATCAGAACTCTTAGTTTCATAGTACATATAAATTCAAGAAAACAAATGAATGCAGCTAGATGAAAAATGAGCAGACATGATGCCAACTGAGTGAATGCTAAACAGGTTACAGGAACATACCGATAGGTACTTGCCCAATCAGGACGTTGTCTTAGTAAATCCATTGCTTTTGTTGTTATCTGAACTTTTGTGAATGCTGGTGGTACACTGCGATTACTTACAATCTGAAATGAAAATAACAGCACTTAAAATTTACAGGACTACTACAACGTACAGTACTGAACCAATATGGAACAACAGTTTTGTTTCCCTTCACAAGTCAGTAATTCCTCAGAATTAATGTTCTGTGGATGACTGCTGAACCTCTGTAAGAAACATGTGAGACAACAGCGGAAAATTTATTCTAAACAACTAAAAAACCTGAATAAATGGTAGATGCAGCACATCCCTTAGTCTGCATCAGCAATACTACAACAACGTTCTCGGTCTTAAAGCACTTTCATTTCCAAAAGTGTTGGTACCATGTTACTAATTAGTACACTAAATTAATATTCAAAATTATATACTTTCATGTTATGATCTTTTGCGTTACCACACTGTTGTGATCTGGCTGGTGAGTACAAACATTTCAAAGGAACATAAAACCACCATCTTCTGCATGAAGTGCCCAAAGAGGGGGACAGTATGTGCCTCCAAACACTGATATCCATCTACCATTTTCTTTACTGAATAAATTCAACAACAGTCTGGACTCACATCCAACCAACTCCATGGAGCTAAATCCTTAAAACCAACTAACGAAATTCCCATAAAAAGTAAGTAAAGGTATTCCTCTAGCAGGCTGTAGAGGCCTATAGGGTTGTGAGATGTTGAGGTTCCCATACTTTCTAGATAATTGGCTTATAGGTGGTGGCCAGGTTGTCAGCCCTATGCACCAGCCGCCTTTTACCCCCAAGAATATTCGTGGGTACTCATTCTGTTAGATGCTGAGTTGACCCCCAGGGCCATAGTGCGGCTAGAGGGATTAGGTCAATTGAAAAAATCCAATGGTCTCATCGGGACTTGAACCCATGACTTTCAAGCTTGTAGCATAGTGCCTCAACCAACTACGCTACCGGGTGCCCCTATGAAATTCCCATAATTTCATGAAACCAGAATGTTCATTACTGTATCCATAAGAATCTGCCACCTATTGCTATTCTGAGCCAGACAATCCAGTCCACCCCCAACCCCCCACTCCCATTCTACATCTCTGAGATCCATTTCAATATTATCCTACAACCTATGCCTAAGTCTTCCTAGTTGCCTCTTTCCTTCTGGCTTTCCTGCCAAAACTCTGTAAGCATTCTGTTTCTCTCCATGTGTGCTACATGCTCTTCCCATTTCAGCCTCCTTGACTTCATCACTCTAAAAATGTTCGGCAAGAAATGTATGTTATGTAGCTCCTTGTTATGCAATTTTCTTCAGCCTCCTGTTATTTCATCCCTGTCAGAACTAAACATTCTCCTCAGCAGTCTGTTCTCAAACACCCTCTGTCTATGTTTTTCCTTTAATGTCAGAGAACAAGTTTCACACTCATACAAAAACTACAAACAAAATTAAAATTTTATATATTTAATCTCGATGTTTTTAGACAGCAGGTGAGACAACAAAATATTCTGAACTGAATAATGCAAGCATTACCCAGATTTAATATCACTTTAATTTCCTCATGAACCAAGTTTTGATTTGTCACTGTCATTCTCAAATATTCAAACTCTGACAATTTTCAAGGATCTATTATGTATCTTTTATGTTATGATTCTGTCTTGCGTTCTAGTTATAAGACATGAATATAAACATAGTTTTCTCTGTGTTTGCTTCTAGACCAACATACTTACTAGAGCTTTTGTATTTTTCTTTATGGTATTTATGTTATCCTCCAATAAATTAAGACCACCAGCAAAGACCAGAAGCTGATGTTTCCCACTCAATTTCAGTTACACTTGGTTCATCTTGAACCTTCCTAATGACATATTCTTAAGCAAAGCTGAAAAACAATGGTAATAAAGTATCTCTTTGTTTCACATCATTCTGAATAGGAAACACATCAGAGAAATGTTTACATGTAGACTTTACCACAGGTTTCATTTAAAAACACTTTAATTAGGCTAACTCAGTGACAACATTGTACAATGCTTCTCTCTTTGCTGAATCACCAGCTGATGTACTGTCTCACTGTACTCAATTTCTCCTCCAGTATCTGCTGACTGCAAAATATCTCATCAGTAGCTGATCTGTTATGTTGAAACCCACAATGATGATCCCCAGTAATTTCACTTACATGTTGCGTTAACCTTAAGGGAAGGCTCTACAAACAATTTTGTAGAAGCTGATAATTATGATATGCCTTTATAATAATACTGAGGTAATTCTTCCTATTCCAAGCAGGATTACAGAGTTTATGGATCTCAGGAATTAATGTTTAACATCCTCTGTGAATCAGTTCTGCCAGGATTTGATTAGGACCGGGAGATTTATACCGTCTCAACTTTTTAATAGTAATTTAAGTTTCAGAATGACAATGCTCAGGTACAAACAGCTCAGCCATATATTTCCATCTGCCTAACATCACTAATCCTGTGTATATTTATTAGCCGACAGAAGTTATATCCCACAAAATTATTAAAATTAGTATCATCTGGGATGTCACTTGTGCTATTTGAGGTAGGTAAATACCATGATATTGGAGCAACAGTTTATACAGGGTTATTCATAAGTCCGTGAAACATTTGAAAATTTACAATAAACTACGCAACAGATACCAAATTTTATTACACTGAAACAGAGATAAACTCACCATTTTTTTTTTTTACTTAGTTGACAGATGCTCAATGTGTCTACCTTTGCTGATATGGCAGATATCTATGTGATAATCCATTTCATCCCACATCCATGTCAGCATATCACGGTTGATCAGAGCCACGGCAGCAGTGATAAGGTTGCAAAACCCCTGAGATTAGCACCCAATGGAGGCTTAAAAAAACTTGAAGAGATATATTCTCTATCGGCATAAGAATTACCATGATCTTATGCACAGTTTATTTCCTGTGAATTTTTAAAATGTTTCACGGACTTATGAATAACCCTGCATAATTGTAAGGACTAGATGCATGCAGTGGGTACCTTTCCCTTTGACATGTACAGGCAGCCTCTGAAACATGTTATATAAGCAATCAAATCTGGTTTCGGAATATATCATGAGTGGCACAGGGTAGCAAGCAGTGAATACTGTGAACACTTTCATCCCAAACGGAAAGAACTGCTCCTTGACAAACCCCAAGAAAACAGTAATTCCATAAACTGGTTTTAAAATATCATGCATAAAAGAATTACATAACTTACAGTAATTTCTTCATAACTGACTGGCAGGCGAATTACTATATCCACATCAAACTCCTCAGGTTTACCAACTTTCAGCCCATCATAATAACTTCCTGCACCTGACATTCTTCTATACATTGCTTTAAACAAGACATCTTCCTCTTTCATAAGCACAATCAAGTGATTCAACACCTGAAAAAGAAAAGTGGATCACAAAAGAATGGCTGATGAAAACAGAAAAAGTGCTACATATTTTATTACATGTGTCAGGTGATGACAGATTTAAGTGAATATGTGTATCCATATATTTGTTATTTTTCAATTTGTCTCTGCTGCTACATAATCAGTTTTGGTGTTATTTTTAGAAGACGGGGAAAAGCAGAAATTAGCCACTATAATTGTCACTCTTTATATAATTTGCAGTATCGAATCATACTGCTTGGTTCTGAAGTCACACAACAGGCAAGTCACTTGACTATCCCACAACTGATGCTGCTAATGAAGCAAAGCACTCCAGTGGAAAAGGCATGAGCAAAGGTCCCAGTAAACACTAAGCATGCCAGATATAAGGGATAAGGCTCAGGTCATTCACAAGAATTTGCTGTGGCTACACTGTTGTCTATGTTTCTATATTAAAACTCATCTTATCACCACATACACTAGAAGACTTATCTGCCTAGCATTAAGACAAGAATCTTCTATAACTTTCATAAACTAGGATTCCTGTTTTTGGGATGTGATACCATGTAACTAGCTCTATATCCTATGGGTGCTAAAGCCCCTGTACAGGATTTGTGGGGTTATTTAATAACAATAAACAATGTAACCTGGTAAAATGGTACCAAATGTGTGAGCAAGGAGCAGGGGGGACTAGCCTGGCCAATGTACACCCCTCTTCTTACAATCATTGAGACTCCCCCTTCTCTTCTGGACCTTCCCAAAAAAGAGTGGGGGGAGGGCTGCCTTATTACATTGGCAGCAGAGCATTTTCAGAATTATAAAATGCAACATAAAACTATGGTTGCAAGGTGGCAAGAGGACACAATCTTAGCCTAAGTTTGGGCTTACAAGCACTGAAGTGCAGATGTGTGTGTAAAAAAATCAAACAGGCATAGACATGATGGTGAATCGTAAGTTATTTCAATGTGTAAAACAGAAGATGAGGGCAGTGCAGTGGCATATGGTGAGACAAGAGTGAACAAAGATCATGAGTGGTGAGATGATTGGTGAGGTATTTAAATCCTCCAAATAACAACAAATGTTACATGGTGTTTCAGAAGAACCTCCATCTTCAGAGCAGAAGAGAGAGCAGGTTCATCTGAAACTAAAAAGAAAAGGAAAGAAATATTTCTTTTTTTTCCTGAAATTCTAGTAGCTATCAACCACACTACATGGTGACACATCCAGATGGCAGCATCTTCACATTTGCACATGGCCACCCACCACCTCTGACATGAAGTGCAGGCCAAATGAGTGGGATAATTCCTGTGTCAAAGTGTCTCAATATCTCAGGACATAAACATGTTGCCTCAAGCTGCTAACTTCCTTCACTGATATCAGGGCAACACAGCAAATGCTTCTGCACGTTATATCCACATTGTGCTGATAATGTGAATAGCAGCCAGCTGACTTACTCCTGCCTCTCTCACAAATTCCTTTGATTTAACATTACTGGATGTCACATAATTTGGGAACTACCATGAGAGCTTTCAATTCTTAAAGCCATTTAATGCTGATATTTCTTTTCTTTCATACTCCCATAGTTTCTCCTTGGTTATTTATCACCATGTCTTATGAAGATCAAGGGAGAGAACTTCTCGCCACATTTCTGTTTAGTTTCTTGCTGACAGATTTTATACTGTAAGCCTAAATGCCATATCTCCAGTAAAAGACTATGGTCCAGCACAGTTACCTTCATGAAGTGATCAACGTATGCTTTAATAGTGTCATCATGAAGAGAAATGCAATGTTTATGCAACTGATTCAGCACTGTTTCCATTGCTGCCTCTTCTTTCTTCCTGTCAACCATGATACTTTCTGTAAAAATCAGATACAGTATTTAACATGTAATTAACAAAACTAAACGAGACTATTAGTTCTGAAAATGAGAACAGTAACATGAGACTCCTACTGAAAAACTGTGTTCTTGATAATACTTAACAAAGCATATAAATTTTGATGTATTTAAGATGAAAGAATGACATACCTATGACCAATTATATGCAGACCCACATGGGGGGGGGGGTGTCATCTGACCCAGGGTACACCAAATTTTACACTTATTTAATTTTAAAAATTATAATAAGCAAGCAAGAGTGTAGGAGCTATTGACTTAATAATCTTGGCCTTTCATCAACATTCATCTGTACTGTTTGCACAAATTTAAAAAGAATGAAACATAACTTGGTTATTTACTTACAATATCCAATCATATAAATCTTAAAGTATACTTCATGGGGGGAAAAAAAAGATACATGCTTGAAGTTCCACAACTGAATGCTTAAGTAACAATTTTAAAGCATTCAGGAAAAGGGTATGCATGCAATTTTACACAGGTGTGGACCAAATGACATGTCATTTTAATAACTGCAGATGTTACATATACATTTCTTTTCTTTGGTAGGAAGTCCTACATACTCACGATGTGCGCACAGAGAAATTCCAGAGTACTAAATCCACACTTCCAGTGGCTTTCAATAACTGAACAATTCACTACAACTCCAGCACAGAATGTCATCGCTGTCGCCATCGCCGCAGCCACCACCACCATCAAAACCATTTTCCAAATCTAAGATTTCTTCTTCATCTACTACAGAACATGTAAGCTGTCTTCTGTTTTTCTTATTTTTTTGGAGCACACTGCTGTTGAACTCCTATTCTTTAGCAGCCTCCTCTTTAAGTTCTGATTTACATGGGCTGCTTGTTCTCATTCTGGAGTCTCTGTGTATTCATTTCTTTGCATGAGAAGAACCATGAGGAAAGGGTGTGACACTGAATGGATTCACTGTATGTTTACTCACTTCATAAGATGAACAGACTCTGTTGATGAATGTAGGTTTCAGCAGCTGAAGCAACAGGTTCTGGAGATGGAAGGAAGTCGATTCCAGAACTTGTTGGTCAGTTTGCTGTTTATGAAAGACTCGACACAAAATCATAAAAGATGCCTCCAGTTCATGGCAAAATTCCTGTCTCGGCAATTATGCACAAGGCATTATGATTTGTGGCAGTCTTCCCATATGCCTTAGCAAATAAACCAGAGACATGATAGTGCATTATGGTTGGCATTTTAACCACGTTATTGATTCATGATCATAAAACATCTTTAAAGGACCATGAAAGGGCACATCTAGTGGTTACAGATGATGCAAGCAATGAGGAAGAGACAGAATTACTATGCCATGATTATTCTCACAAGTTAGGGTATTAGTGTGCTTGTGACTGAGATGTTACCACATTATAAGAAAAACGCTGTTGTATTCTGAAGGATTAGCATACTCCTCATAGTGTTGCATCCAGCCATCCAACCCAAACCATAGGCCAGTCCTGAATTTCCTGATGATGCTGTTCAGCAGTGTGACTTTTTTTTTAACCTCATCATCATATGTTAGGCCAAACAGTACAGATTCCAATAATTTTACATGCTCCCCATTCCCACATTCAAGCTCGCGACCCCATTCCTTCTTTATCAACAGAATCACTGACTCGCTGTGTCACTGAAACGCGAGTTCAATGATTTAGCACCTTCCTGAATTATTTGTGTTATTGTTCTTGTTATTTAATAGTCTTTCGTAATTTTACGCTGCTGCACCCGCATTTTCAAACTGCTCAGAAAAATGAGTAATGGCACAGAAGTCACTTTATGCTCAAATTAAATTGTGTGTTAAAGGCAAAGTACTTAGCTCTTAATCTCTCCGATAAAACATTCCTCCTACCTATGAAGTAAACAAATGGATTAACTTACTGTTTCTAACAGACGACAGCGACAAAAACTGACGTCAAACCCCAAAGACAAAAAAAAAAAAA